GATTACCTGCAATGGAGTCTGGGTTGGCCCGAGAATCTGCCTCGGTCATTGCGTACACCCATGCTTGGGTCCTCCCTTGGTTAACGGACGCGGCGTTACTAGCCGTGGGTCCGCTCCTTCCCGTGCGGCCTTGAGATGGTCCCGCACGCCACCTACTAGACGTAGGTCCTTCAGGGACTCCCGATGGTCCCCCTCCATTCAGCATCAGGCAAGAAACTTTGAGGTGACTTGTGCTGCCACACTTATAACACCAGGGTGGTGCATTGCACTTCCTGGCATGGTTTTTGGTACAGTTTGCACACCTCAGTGGTCTCACGCTCCCCGAGTTGTGCCCTTGCCCTCCTGGACCCTTACTCTTCTTTGTCGGTGGTTCCGGCGCCCTAAATGAACTTCCATTCCCGGCGTGATGTTTCCGAGAATGGTCTTGGGGTCCAGAATTCCCCCATCTTCTTTTCTTCGCCTCATTACCATCATTACCATCAACATCACCATCACCATCACTAGAATCACCTTTACCACCACCACCACCACCATAACCTTCATCATCATCATTACCATCATTACCATCAACATCGCCACCGCACCATCATCATTATAAGGATTACCTCCATCACCACCACCACCACCACCACATCCACCATCACCATATACCATCACCACCAATACGATCACCATCATCACCGTCACTAATCACTATAACCATGACCACTACCATCACCATCACCATAACCATTGCCATCTACAGGACTACAGATTCATACCACCACCACCATCCCCATCACCATCATACAACCGCCACCATTACCATCACCATCAACTTCATCGCCATCACCACCACAACCATCAACATTATCATCACCACCACCACCACCACCATCATCATCTTCGCCATACCATCACCATCATTACCATCACCATCACTATAACAATCAACATCATCACCATCACCATCACCATCACCACTACCATCACCATCACCATCATTATCCATGATCATCATCTCATCATCATCACCATCACCATCAACCTCATAACATTCATATGACCACAACTACCACCCCCATCACCATCATACCACCACCATTATCACCATCACCACCAACATCATCACCATCATCGCCATCACCACCACCACCATCATCTTCATCACCATCATACTACCACCACTGTCACCATCACCATCAACATCATCACCATCATTACCAACATCATCATCATAGATATGTAGTAGAAATAAATACATTATTTATGATTAAAATAAAGATTGATTACGAAAATGTGAAAAGTGACTATAGTAGTAACTTCACTATATTAACTTGTGTTTCATTTTACAATTCAAGTTTGAGATTAGGGTACTTATCTCACACCCCATTAAAATCGGGGTTAATTTTTGTAACGGCATTAGACGTCATGCCCCTGCTATGATAACGGAATTGAAACACATGCCCCACTTTGTTAGAAAATGAAACACATGGCCCTATCTGAAAATGGCCGAAACCACATGTACGTTTTATGTACTTTTCCCTTTTAGAATTCATGACGGCACAATTTATAATAAAAACTTCCATTCCAAAATAAATATTGTTACTCCCTGTTAGAACTTTTATTGTGGGTCAAGTTTGTCTGTAATGTCTTGTTTAAATAAAGTAGACTAGTTATACCATTTATGGTATTAGATTAGTATTTATTATGTAGCAAATAAGGTAAAGGGAATAAAGCCCAAAAAGGCCTTGGCCCAACTTACAAGGTTTACCTAAATCGGTAACCTGTACAGCGCCTATAAATACGCGCCTTGTGTACAGGTACCGATATCGATTAATACACATTAGCCTTACGCTGCCAGATTTACTTCTCGATACAACAGAAAGAAGAATTTTTTTGTTCTCGATATTGCTTCATCATTATCAGATCTTCTCTCTTTCTGTGTGTCGATGAAATCCATCTAGCTGTGTGTTAGTCTGCATAATCTGGGACCAACACTCCCAATGTATACAATTGACACACTTTTAATTTGTGATTTTAAATTATATAATTAACTCCATAAATTTACATTTTAGAAAGAAATAATACATGACAATGATGCGAAAATAACTTTTTATTTAAAGTTTTTTGTAATTAAATTACATATGCAAGTTTGGGGTGTTTATACCACACTCCTTCAAAGTTTGGGGTATTCTTATTATTTTCCCGACTTTAAATCATACGTACTTTATTTTTACTTTATTAATTCAATATCAATCACATAAATTTACTTTTCTTAACAACCATGTCACTTCTTTATGTCCCAATGTTAGTGGGACAGAGGTAGTATTATTTTTTTTCTTTTTTTCCTGTAAAAAGTAAAAACAAGATTCTCAGATCACAATTTTACCTGATATTTAAATCTAGTGAATGATACGTAGTACTACATTAGCTAAGCAAGGAGCTAGATGTTCATTTTAGTGACCAGAACTGTACCAGTTCATTATCTTTAATGCTTGTCTTGTCTTACTTGATACAAACGTAAATGATTGATACTGGAGCATTTTGGCCACGAAAAGAATGGCCCCAATCCTCAAAATTCAAAAAAAAAAAAAAATTGTACTACTATACGTTAAGTGAGTAGTATCTCCTATGGAATTGGACCGTACCCTCCCAAGCCATCCAACAAAACTGGTTATATTATAAAGAGTAGTATTATACTAATACGTAGTACTATCTATAATATACATAGTAGTATCTACTAATTAGACCATTTGTAGTGGAAGGTTTTAGGAGTCCAAAAAATTAAATGTGGAGCTTTTAGACTCCTATTTGCTTACATTGGAGTAGTAAAATGGGGTTTAAAAATGGAAAGGGGAGTGGAAGAGTTCAAATATAGAGGAGTTTTAGACTCTCCAAAAGCAAAAGAAAAAAGAGAAGAAAGCTTCGGCCTGTGTGGCTGTTGTTAAGCGGGTGACGTCATGCTGACGTCATCCCTGCATAATAAAATCACTCTTTTATAAAAAAGACTATAACTTTTTTATTTGTTGTCTATTTTTTTTGAAAAATATATCAAAATTAACAAATTTTTACGATCTTTCATATGACATCAATATTATACATATATAATTTATTTTTAAAAATGAAGTTTCAATAGCCAAAGAGTTGAGTAGGCTTAAAGAAACGAAACCCAAATTTTTAATTCACAGTGTCTCCACAAATAATTGAATATTACATAAACTCATTTTACTATTTTATAAAAGTGAAAGTAGTAATAAAAAAATTAATGAATTTTTTTTAATTTTTAACATCAAAATGTGTATTTTTTTAATTTCATTACTCTTCACAAATAAAAACAAAGAAAAATATTGTTTATAATAATTTAATTAATGTTTTACTAAATTGATATGTAAAAAATATGTAGAGTGTATTTTATCGACGGTGTACGGATGCAGGGAAAACAGTATTGACGGAGTCTAAACACAGTTTTCAAATGAACGGAGTCCAAATTTAACAATTTGGACTCTTGACCACTACAAATGGTCTTATGTCCCTCTATTATTGTCTCATTGTGGTTTACAATGTTTGACCCCACGATAAAGCAAACGAAAACATGTCTGCACTTAAATTATTTTTAGAAGGAAAATACTATCTCCGTAACAAAAAAATTTTCCCACTTTCCTTTTTCGTCCGTAACAAAAAAATCTTCCCACTTTCCTTTTTCGTCCGTAAAAAAAAATCTTCCCACTTCTAAATCTTCTCATCATACACTCAATAACTCTAAAAATAATACACTATTACAACTACTTTTTTTGGATTTATCCTACATTCCATCACATTATTCCACTATCTTCGCATCGTACCCTCAGCTCAATAATTTATACATTCTTTTACTATTCTTAATCTACCTATTTTTGAAATGGGAAGGTTTTTAAGTTACGGAGGTAGTATTACATATTCAGAGTAATTACCAGAATCAAATTTGATAAAAATTTGATATATAAAGTAAAAGATTTATAGTGATATGTGTTGACCAAATGAATAGAATCTTGTATAATGATAGGGGGAAGGAGGGAGTATTATTTTTTCATTTTTTTCTAGTATGAACAAGGCATGAAATTTAAAGATAGTGAATTATTTTAGCCAAGCAACGAGATGTTCCAAACTTTTCTCAAAGTCACAAACTCTTATACTCACCAAAATAATATCCTATTCTTTAATATAATGGCTTCATCAGCTTCCCTATAATGTTAATATATCCTGTGAGTAAAGAGCATGGGTCTTCATGTGCTAAATTTTCTAGTCCCACAAAGTTCGAAAAAATGTTCAAAAAATCAACCTTAGCAATTTTTAGAAAGTTGTCTGACTTGTAATATTCTTTGATGTTTCCAAATTTGCAATGCTTAAAATAGGAACCTCCCAAGTTAGTTGTTTAATAAAATGGAGAATATGAGAGACTAATTCAAAGTTGAAATTTAATGTATTAAGAGTTGATTTTTTTTTAATTCAAAAGTGAAAATATCATTATTTTTATTTTTAACAAATTTGAATATTTTTCAAAACCATTTCTCCAAAGAATTTGAAATTATATGAGGTTTGGGGTATCTCGCCAGGATGTTTCCTTTCAGCCGAATGCAGTGCTGGAGATAAATGGCTATATGATTGATTTAGATCAATCCGGTACGTTGATTCCAGGATAATAATTTGTTTCTCATTCACAAAAGAAACGTGACCAGCTGGGACAGAGGAGTCCTTGAGCTGGATTTTTCTGTGAGTTTCCGTACTATGTCAACCCATGTGAAACCTTGTTTGTTACCAGAAGATAGAGCCACCGGCACGCAGGTTGATTTGTTGGTTGGTGGTCCTGATTCTGACATGGATAGAGCCATCGGCGTGTATTTTGCGGGCTATGCACTTTGAACGCCAAAATCTGTAGATGTTAACCAACCCTACATCCCAGGCACCCTCAAAATCAAGGATGATGACCATACCACATGTGAATAATATAATTAAAAAAACCAAACTCATGACATAAACAATTCACTTGCAATTGAGAAATACAAATTCAAATTAAAACATGTTGACTAAATTTTATTACATTGTTATTAAATATTCATACCAGAATGGCAGAATACAATATTAGGAAAAATAAAATAACCTCAATTGACCTGAGTCATCCAAAATAAATTACAAAGGTAACAATTACTACACTACCAACACTTCTTCAACACTTCTTCATTTCAGTATTTCTTTGTTCATTTATTTTTCACCTTGACTAAGATCGCACCTTCTAAAATCAAGGTAGATGGCCATGTGTACCACCTACATGTAGTAAAAATATTAGTATAGAATACTAATTTTAAAATAGTACTTTGAGATAATCAGAACAACAAAATAACTAAATCAATTAAGTTCTTGTACATATAATGCATACTTGTTTGAGAACCATTTTTAATGACTCCTTCCAGCAAAGCTTTCCAAGAAGTTCCACCACCATCATTGGGCACTTGACTAACTTCGGTGAACTACATAACAATAGGTGTAGAGAAAAAAATTATTTACATGCCATTAAGTATCACCGTTGCTTTTTTGAATAAAATAGCACCCTAACTTTTTATAGAGCTCATAACCTGTGGATACTGAACCATTTGTGGAATTAATGGAATATTTGGATGCAAAAGAGAAGCACCATATGGATTGGTAGAGGGCACCCAATAATTGAATGACTGAGGACTATTAGCTTGTAACAGATGTGTCGGAGATACCAAAGAATATTGATGCATAGTCCCAGTCAAACGTTCACTTGAAAGGCTTGATGGCTGATCAATTAGTATTCCACTCTTTTGAAAAGTGCCGTTAATATTCAATTCGACCTGCTGCATTAAATCAACCAACATCAACAACATTACATAAAATAATGTATCACTAGTATACATAACTCATTATTTAACTCGTTGACCTTGGCTCTCTCATTTACATGAACCTTTGATAAACTTTTTGAAGATTCACATTTCTTGATTTGTTTACCCTGCAAGAATATAATAAATATATAAAATAAGAAATGTTTAAAAGTTTTACTTTTTTTTCAACAAGCATTAATACAAAAGACGATTACATGAGATCTCTTCTTTTCACTAACTATGAAGTTAGGACAACCACCATTATCCTTACTCCCAACACCGTCAGTAGCGTCACATTCAAACATCACTCCTTTGCCCTGCAATAATATAAACATATCTTCTACACACATGTCATACTAAAAAATGATTTTAAAATATAAAAGTATGCTAACATATGTAAATATACGGAAATTAAAAAACTAACATGACATCTTTGGTTGTCGTCCAAAGATATAACATCATCATTTTGAGTGCCATTGTGATCAGAAGCTATCCTTGGGCACGTTGTTATTACATGTCCTACACGGTTACAGTTCGAACAACGCCTCCTTTTACCTCCTTTTTTTTTCTTTGTTGGGGCACCTTTTGTCTTCACAACAGTAGGATCACCAATATCTTCAACAAATGATGCATGACTAGTCCCTTGATCACCAAGCTTCTCTAACTTATGAGTGAGTCTTAGTATCTCATCTCTAACTTCATCAAAGTATTCAGTCTTTTTGGAAGCAATTTTACATAGTCTATTACAAGAAGCTGCTAAAGCACCAAAACGAGCAAATATCATAACATCAACATCTACTTCATCTGATGACATTGCCGAGATTAGATCAGTCTTACTCGTCTTAGTCCACCTTCCACATATCAAGCTACTAGGAAAGTCCTGAATGTTCTCATTTTTCAAAACACATATAATATGAGAACAAGGAATGCCGCGGGCTTCATAAAGACGACAAGCACATGAAAATTTAGAATTTGATCTATCAAAATCAACTTTAACTAAACTTTCAGGATGACCATATTTGCTTAAGTGAAGAGTCAATTCATCTCCATTTTCTATTCGACCCACAACATTTAATGCACAACCAAGTTCAATCTCTTTCCTAACTTCTGTAAACATTTCCAGTGTATATATATTAGCAGCCTGGCGCTCAAGGTGCTTCAAAGAGCTCGTCATTACCGGTTCTGAGAAATTGGACTTAAAATCAGCAATCAACTCATTATTTCGGTACTCCCTTAACAGCTGTTCAAAATTATGAATAAATTCATAGAGGGTATTTTTTTTTCTCACATAAGATCTAATTAAAGAATTGATTGCTTCACACTGAGATGTAGTCCGGATGCGTCCAAAGAATGTGTCACGCAGATACGCAGTAGCCCATAATAACTTGTTGTCATAGGTTTTCAAAACCCATGTGTTACCTTCAACCCCATGCTCAACTATAATTTGCTGCCAAAAATCTTCAAACTCTTCAGGGGTGAAATTTGAATACATTGCTTTCTTAAAATCGTCCAAAAATGGTGAGTTTTTTACATTCTCACATGCATTTTTATTCAAGTGCCACGCACACAAACGATGAGTAGAATCTGGAAAAACTAATTTAATAGCCTCTCTCATAGCAACATCACCATCAGTAACCACTGATATGGGATGTTTCTTGTGCATTGCTTCCAAAAAAGTTTCTAAGACCCATTTATATGTCTCAAATGTTTCATCTGACACCAAAGCACAACCAAATATAATAGTTTGAGAATGATGGTTACATCCTGAGAAAATAACCAATGGATAATTATATTTGTTTTTCTTGTACGTGGTGTCAAATGCAAGAACATCACCAAAGCACTGAAAGTCTACTATGCTTTGTCCATCTGCCCAAAATAAATGTTTCAGCTTTCCATCATTTGTAGTAGAATACTTACAAAACATTATGGGGTCATTGTCAGCTTTGCCTTGAATGTAGCTAAGAGCAGCTCGTGCATCCCCATCTTGAATCTTAAAACGCTTCTGTCTGTCAAGATAGTTATATAGATCCTTTTTTGAAAACCCAAGCCCACTATACCCTCCTTTTTGAGCCAACATATATCCCATAATGTGACATGTCCGAACACCCTGCATGTGTAACATATCAATTTGGGCTTTGTCTGCATCATTCAAGGCACGATAAGCGGGAAACAGGTGGACATACGTAGAAGGAGTTAAAAAATGATTATGTTCCTCCACAAAAGAACTCACAATCCATTTTGATTTTTTTCTATCCAAACGCACACGAAACTTAGCTTTACAATTCGTGCGTGTGATTGGTGCGTGTGGTTTTTTCCTGTCTACCTTCTCCAAGTACTTTTTTTGCCTCAATCCAGCTCTATTACATACTAATTGTTGCATTGTAATATTATTATTCCTGTCTCGAGCAAGATTGTGTTTCCTCGCAACAAACCCCTTACATCTTGCATATGTTTGAAAAAATTTGCAAGCTTCATGTTGAGTATCAAATTCTAAATCCCGAATCTCATTAGATGATATGTCATATATCCTTCTAAAATTATGATCAGTAGCTGGTATTTGAATGTTGTCTTCATTCTCACTACCCTGCTGATTTTCATCATCGGTACTAATCTCGCAATCACTATCATCAGTGTCAAATATAACTTCTTGCTCATCATGCAAAATATCATCTTGATCATGACCAAAATCAGCAAATTCCTCGCGAACAAAATTGTCCATCTATATTACAGTCATTTAAAATAAACAATAAAAAATAAAATTATAGTTTCACAAATGTAAAAAAATGGGATAAAGAGTGTACATCAAAATACTAATTATAATATTGATAAGGACGGCTAAACTAATACTAACAAAAGTACAATAAAAGCACACGTGAAACAAGTTTTCATGAGTGTATCTTGTTATGCATTCATGTTTTATAAAATATATTATACGTGTTCATAGATTCCATTCATGATATCACGTTAAATATTATTACCATAGATATGTTTATTGGCAAAACTGCCCAAAAGATAGGCTACATTGTCTAGTTTTATCTAAAATTCCAACATCCTAAACATTGGTAATAATAAAAGTAGGAGTAATAAATCAATCTAAAAAGTAAAAATTTATGAAAGTTCTTAAAAGTAGGAGTAACACTTCTTGAAGAGAATTCTTTAAAAGTTAAACATTTTACACTACTTAATGCAAGTTCATTTAGTCACTTACAAAATTACAAGTTAGGTTCATACTGTGGTCATTTGGTATACCAATTCATGAAAATTTGAGACTAGGTTTTAAAATTCCTAATTTTTAGGTAAACCCGAGAATGGGAGGTAATAACAATAAGGCATATAGAAAATTAGCACAGTGTGAGACGAATATGTAGTACCTCAATACGTGCCTTCTTCGTCAATCCGTGAGCTAGGAGTCTAATAGTCCGAAGGAGAAGGCTAGGACAGATGACTAAGTTGGACAGTCACCGTGGGGTAGAGGGTGGAGCGAGGTCGACAGGAGCCGAGGTCCCAAGGACTGGGAACTTTGCTGCTACCAGCAGTCTACAGGTGATTAGCGAGGCTACAAGGAACAAGTGGGGAGCATATATAATGTTTGTAAATTTAATCCATCAGTTTTTGGGTGAGAGATGATCATGTTTGTTTATTAGAAGACCTCTCTTATATACTGGTGAGTATAAACATATCTATGGTAATAATCATGGATATAATGATGATTATGGATATATTCTGTTCACAAACAGTAAGTAAAATAACAAAGAAATGCATAGAATCATACAAATCTAAACTAAAAGTGTGAATATTTATTGTAAATGATTGAAAACTAATTTTTTCAAGATTGAATAGTAATGCATAAAAGTTATACAAACCTAAGTCGTTGCTTGAGAGAGAGCAGCTAAGGTTGCAAGAGAAAGCAATATGTACTCTTTTTTGTTATGATTTATGAACCCTTGTCTCTTTCCTTGAAAAAATAGTGCTCCTTATACTCATGTTTAATGATGAATAATCTATTGTGGAATATGTCTAGTATCTCTTCTTAGTGTTGGAAACTACGTACACTCAATCTCTAGGCAGTGGAAGGGTGATTTGGTCACTCTTATTGAACCTGTAACTTATGAGTCCAAAGGTATTTGAATTATGCAAACCATGGTTTTTTATAATCTTTTGCTTCTAACTTTTGAGACCAAATCTGTGGAGGTCAACCAGTTTGTATGTAAGAGATATTGTTGACGGGTAACACTTTCTAGTTGCCAAGGTTAAACAAATTTCATCACACATTAGTTTTCATCTTTCACAATTATAAAGCTAGAACGGAAAGACACAATTATAGGGTGGGCTGATGCAATATAGTACAACTCAAGAGGCTTAATTGGTCAGATTGACCAAATTTTAATAATGGTCCACAACTCAAGAGGCTTAATTGGTTAGATTGACCATGTATTGGCAGTTCCTAAACTACTAATTACAGTCAGACTTCCAGCCAGAAAACCAATGCACTGCGTATGTAAGAGCTTGCAACAAATAGCTACTGGATGATGTGTTGTAAATAGTCATATTTTTGTAAACTATCTTTATTTTAGTCATATTTATGTAATTATTTCTATTTTGTTTGTGAACACATTTAGTTAAAACTACAGAGGGACATACAAAATAGCCATGATCTTATAAACTCATATGAACAACATAGACCATCCTTTCAGCTTATCTCTAATTTGACACGCACAACTTTCTTGTTCTTCTTTCCTAATCCTTTTAGTTTGTCACCATCCATCTCAACAGCCCTTTTTCCTCCCAATCTTCAATCATCATCGAAATCTGGGGAATCATGTAGTGGTCATTATTCCTTTTACTCATTCCCCTTTTGACAATAGGGACCTTATTCCTGACTGGTCAGTAAAAATTTAACAACAATTGCGTTCAAATAAAAGTTCATAAAAGTATGATAAGTTCCCAGTAAATAATTTATTAGGCTGAAATTAGGAATAAATAAACACATTCAATATAGAAAATTATGATAAAAATATTGTAAACAAAAGCAAATAAGGATTATACTGAGTATAATCCTTCAAAAAAAACTTGATTAAGACTACCCAAAAAAATTTAAAAATAAAAGGAAATCAAATTATCAATATCATACCTGACTACCTGAGCTACTCTGCCATTGAACATTTCTGGCCAGAATCGATGGCCCCGACCGGAAGAGGGAAGATCAAATGTCGTCCTGAGGCCACCGCCCACGGGTACCGTCCAGGAGACTCCGTTAGGCCGCCCAGAATGAGCTACCAATAGTTCAATCCGATTATCAGGGAGGGAATCGTAGATGGAAGCTATGCTGTGAACTCAAAAAAAGTACGGAGTATTGTTTTATCTCACTTAGAGGAGAGCGGACTGCTTATTCACGGGAGAGGAGCCTCGGTCCAGATCTACCTGACGGACGTATGTTAACGGCATAGGTCGGGAGTTAGAGGGACTGCTTGTGCAAATTTATTACATAAGTAAGTGTTGACTATATGACCAGCACACATGGCCATATTTGTACACATGTCAATCTCTGAAAAGTGGTGCATCCGTGCCCTCTAAAATAGGGTGGCATCAGAGAAAAACCCATCCATATATAGCAGTAGACTTAGATGGAGAAGGTAAAAGGCCCAACATCACTTCATGACATACGACTCGCTCATTCGTTTTGGCAGCACGGCTCCAGACGTTAGAAGAATCGTTTTTTTCCTTCTGACCTTTTTCTTCTTTCTTTTCACAATAGAATCGTTGCTTTTTCCCATTGTTGATGCGCTGCCACCAGGAGAAGGCGGTAGATAAACTTTCTGGTTGTGTAGACTGCGGGTGGTATGTGGAATGGTTGAAGCCGGATTAAGCAAGGTGTCCTGGACGGCGGCGGATGGTGGGCCATGGTGCGGCGGCAGATGGCATGCCATGGGGCGGCGGCGGCAGGGGGTGCGGCTGCAGGCGGGTGGATCTATGGAGGTGGAAGAATGGAGGTCAGGGTTGGAGAAAAGAGTAGAAACTTAGGGTTTTATAGAAATGACCTAAAGGGTATATTTGTTCATCTAATTTATTTATTTATTTATTACGAATTTTAAATAAATATTATGAATTTTAATACTCCCTCCGTATTTAAAAGTTCCATACACTTTTCTTTTTGGGATGTATTTAAAAGTTTCCTACATTTTCCTTATTTGGTAAGTTTTTCCTTTAAATATACTCAATTACCCTTACTTTTTCTACTTTTTATCCTCGTGTTCCTACTTTTTCACCTTCTCTCCTACTTTTTCTATACTATTTTATTTCATTACTCTTACTATTTTTTCTTAAATCTTGTGTCATAATCAAACTTAGCCATCTTTTAAATACGGAGGGAGTATTATTTTGATAAAACAAAAACTAGTTAGGTCATGATAAATTATACCGTGCACCATACAACCGGGTATTTTTACAATTAGTTAGAACTGCGATGAAAAGGCGCCGATGTGGGAGTTCCGATCTTCCAAAGAGTCACTGGTCTTTTTTTTCGTTCGTTTCTTTTCCTTTCATGCTGCAGCCAAATCTCTACGAAAAGCTTCTTCACCAACGTTTTTCTTTTCTTGATCAACGTTTTCTTTTCACTGTCCCCGCAATCGCGCTAACTATCATTTTTGTTGCTTTTCATCAAAATTTATGATAATTTAATATTATATTTTATATTGTGTTAATATTTTCAACTTATGAATTACTAATATAAGTTTTATGTTATGTTCAAAATGAGTATAGTGTTTATAATGAATGTGCATAACGGTTAAAATAAGAATTGAATATTCATAAATGAATATATGAGCACGTTAAAAAAAATTAAAATGAGCATACACAAATGAAAATTTGAGCATATTAGAGAATTCAAATGAAATACACAATGAAAACTTGAGCGTATTGTAGATTTTAAATGAGGTTTTTGAACTTTTTCGTTGCTCATTTCATAAGTTATGTATGCTCATTTGATATTGATACAACACTCATTTTAAAATGTCATATCCATGCATATTTCAAAAGCATATTATTACATTAGATTTACATATTGGACTCATACAGATTAATTGTAGATATTTTAAAAAACAAGAAAAAGAAAGTGAATTAAAAACATCACCTACAATGCTCATTATTAGACTCTAATTACTCAAAAAAATAGATCGGATTGTATGCTCATTAAAAATGTATTAATGCTCATTTAATAGAAGACGAGATTTTTTTACATAATTTACAAAAATGTCACCAGTTGTACGGTGCAAGTCGTACAGCCGGCTGTACAGTATAAGGACTCTTAGGTCATAGACCGGAAAAGTGAAGAAGTTTTAGTATAACTAGGCTAATTATCTCTGTTTGAAATAGGGGTGCAAATGAGCCGGACCGAGCCCGAGTTTATGTAGGCTCGAGCTCGAATTATATTTTATTGGCTCGAGCTCGAATTATATTGTATTGGCTCGAGCTCGAGCTCGGCTCGAACGAGCTTAAAAAATCCGGGCTCGAGCTCGGCTCGCAAATATTGATTCGGCTCAATTTGGCTCGACTCGGCTCGGTTCGGCTAGATAATTTTGGTTCGTTCAAAAGTTACAAGTTCAATTAGCTCGAAAGTTCGCGTTCGAACTCGAGCTCAAGTATGAAACAATCTTTAAACATTTGTGCTTAACATTTGCAAATTGCAATTTACATGCCCAATAACTAAACCTTACGGGAAAATAAACAAAATACAATTCTAACTTCAAGTCTCCACCCAATTGTACTTCTAATATAAATCAAAAGTGGTCAACCCATTAAGAAATAGTGGATGAAGCTTTGATTATTTTTTGTTAAATTACTTTATAATTAATAATATCTCCCCGGTCCTTATATACATTTATGAATCAGTATTATATATATATATATATATATATATATATATATATATAGGGGGGGGGGGCTAGTTCCTGTGAGAACACCCTCTTAGGAGAGTAAAAAAGAAGAAAATCTAGCCTTCCATTAACTTGATCTAATGGCTTAGCATTTTTTGAAATAGAGACCAAATTCGGATCATTAGGCTTACATATAAGGCAACATTTCAATTGAAAATTAAATAAGGGGCATCATGGTAAATGTCATCCAAGTAGTTATTACGCATGTGGCACTATAATAGGAGTACATCCTAGAAATTAGGCTACTAATTAATAAGGAGTAACGTACCTCCCTCCTATCTAATATATACTTTCTATAGTTTAATTTTCTTTCCATATTAAAGTTAGTATTATCTCATATATTATTTTAATAAAGAATTTCATAAAAATCTCTATCCAAATTGTGCACCTTTTCTCGTTTAATTGTCTTTTCAATATTTCAATATTTCACTCGTTTAGTTTTGTATATTTGCACTTAATCGTTTAATAGTTGCACTTTTATTTGAAACATTTTGCGTCATCAATTTAATTAAATATTTAAATGCTTTTGCAACCTAAAGGAAAATTACATGTTTATTACGTTAATTTACACTATTGTAAACCACACTTTAATGTCATTAATTTGCACTTTCTATAACATTAACATTTTAAACAATTAATTCTACATATTCATACAAGTCCGGGATAAAATTCATAAAAATTAATATAAATATACAAGGGTGTCAACAATAACTATAGCGTGCATTTAGAATAATACCAATGTGCACTATTATATCACACTTTCTAAACCTCTTCATTGACACTCTTTTACAAAACAAAATGCACTTCTATCATGTGCATTTAAGCTAAGTATACATAAAAGTGCACCAAAATATCACACTTTTCTAATATTTTACATTGACACTTTTTACTAAATGAAATGCACTATTATAACAAACTTTCTGCAATTTACATTGACATCTTATACAAAATTAAATGCACTACTTCTTCGATAGGAGTCACTTTTTCTCTATTAGCATTGCATCATATCGTATCTGCAAAAAAAATAAAAAGTTAAAAACTAATGAAAGTGCATGTCCAAAGCTTGTTAAGTGCAAAACTTAATAGAAAATCATATTTAATATTATCTGGAAATTAAATGTCAAATGCATAACTAAATTAACATAAATACTTACGGTAGGAGCATATGATTCAAAAGAGGAAACATGACATGGCAAGCATATTTCAACATCCTCTAACCTTGCCCAATTAAAACATGAATGAGATTTATAGGACACTAAACACATACCATAAAAATACTATATGAGAACAACCCTGGATACGTGTATGCGCAAAAACTGAAAAGTCATCTGCAAAAAATGCATGTAATAATCATAGAAAACTAAAGAAATCACACTTATCGAGGAATAATAATATAAAATGAAAAGAATCTTATCAAACCATATATCACTAACATGCGGCTGAGTGGAATTTGAAATTCAGCTCCATTGAAATCGGATCAATTTGTACGTGATCAGAATGAAATCAAATGAATACCTTCGCAGAATTAGAGAAGAACGACGCAAGATGAAAATATTTTGGGAAATAATCGTGTAGATTGTAGAAACGGTTTTTGGAAGGAAATATGCATCATGATTTTAGGCTTACGGTTTTGGAACGCATAAATGTAATTGGAATTGACATCAATACCCTCTCTAATAGCTTAGGCGGACGTTTAATTAGAGGCTAATCCAATGGTTAAGATCTGTTCTTTTTTACTCTCCTGAGATTAAGTTCTCACATGATCCTAAATCTATATATATATATATATATATATATATATATATATATATATATATATATATATATATATTTAGGTTCATGTGAGAACTTAATCTTAGGAGAGGGAAAAAGAACTCATCTTAACCATTGGATTAGATTAAGAAAATCCGTGCGCCTAAACTTTCATTAAGGGTAAGGAAGACTTTTTTAATTGACCATTTCTTCAATCCCTTATCTTACGCTGATTCCTTATACAACTATACAACCGTTTCCTTCCAAAGATATTTTCTGCATATTAGTTCTTCTCTTTCCATGTGCGAACGTATCCCATGTGCGAAATTGGGGAACCGGCGGTAGTCATCCGGTTTAGGAAATTGAACGACGTCAAATTCTTTCTTGTTGTTATTGATAGAATTACGAATTTCATATTATAGGGGAAAAAGTAGTTTGTTTTATACACAGAGATTGATTCTTCAGACTTGGGAAAAAGATTTTTGTCTAAATTGCAAAGATGAAAGCTGTGCATGCTACCCACGTGTTGTAGTGAAGAGCCATACTCATCATCCACAAGTCACTATCAGGGGTGTAGCCAGGACACTGGGCTAGACTGGGCCGGTACAAAGAATATTATTGGGAAAAAAATTACACGAAATTTTTTACACTAAAAATATTGACATTTTTCAAATTTGGGGTGGGCCAGGGCCTAGCCTGGGCACCCCCTAGCTCCGCCCCTGGTCACTATCAA